TCTGTACAGAGCTCCCCTCACACTGCAGTCCTTTCCCCCTCTCTGTACAGACCTCCTCTCACACTGTAGTCCCTTACCCCCTCTGTACAGAGTTCCCCTCACAATGCAGTCCCTTCCCCCCTCTGTACAGAGCTCCTCTCACACTGTAGCTCCTTACCCCCTCTGTACAGAGCGCTCCTTGTGCTTCAGGCCCTTAGGGCTACAATGCAGGTATTCCCAAGGTTGGTACTGTGTTATTATTGGTTGTAACTGGAGTTTTCCTGCTCCATCTCCCCAACCTCACTGTTCCAGTTTAACCCTCACTGCAACTTAAATCCAGCCTCACTGATTCCAGATTGAGCATGGCTCTTTGTCATCGGCGTGTGTCTGTGCGCGTGTGTGTCGCACGTGTGAGCAATGCTGCCACTGGGAGCTGAAATATCGGATCCATAATTGTTCTTGTTGAGTTGCCCACATCTCAGCCGCAGGTACTGTCCCCTCCACGTGTCAGGGGATTAAGAGAATGGTGGTAATGGGGTCAGCGGGGTTAACAAAACATGTTGAGATGGTCAGTGTCTCTGGATGGTCAGTCCCTGTGCCTAACCAGGGGCCAGTTCCACTTCTGTGGAGTTTCTGATTGAAAGAAGATGTATTGGTGGTGTATGGAACAGCATTTTTGAGAGTGTGTACATGTGAGACAAGAGTTAATGTTCCTTATCTCCTCAGACCTGCTGCTGAGGGGTGTAGCATGTAAAGGGTGGTCAGCAGAGGAATCTCAATGGTCACGGTTTTGGCTCAGTGTATCCAGCCTGGTCACTGTCCCTGGACAGTCAGTGTCCCTGGCCGGTCAGCGTGTTGTGACGGTCAGTGTCCCTGGACGGTCAGCGTGTTGTGACGGTCAGTGTCCCTGGACGGTCCGCGTGTTGTGACGGTCAGTGTGATTTGTGTGGCACTCTATCCTAGAACCTACACTGTAGACACGGTTTCCTTTTGAGATTAAATTCTGTGTCTGTGTGACTGATTCTGCCTTTGGGTTTGCTGACCCTCCCCTCTTGTACAAATGATCTTTTATTAAATTGTTACGGTTTTGTGTCTGACAATCGATGTGAGGTGGGAATTGGGGACTGTTGGCTGGCATGGATCACTTGAGGCACTGCTCGGACCAAGATTAATTTACATCTCCATCCAGGGAATGCGGCTGTTTCTAATTCTATTGTTTTATCTCCCTGTAGATTTATCCTTGGTTGCTTGCTCAGTTTCAGCAGGGTGGTGGGAAGGATCAGCATGAGGTCTCTCTACTCTATCCTGATTTCAGTGGTTCCCCACGTCCTATGGGTTGAGAGAGAGCTTCCTCAGGGAGTCGAAAGCACCAGGGCCCCCATGCAAGATCTCCATCGTTTAGGCTAAAATGTTAAAAGCCAGCCTTTTATTTTGTTGTAACTATGATGAGGGGCCCTATAGGGGGAATAAACGGCTTCAGCAAGGAAAACAGCAATTTCTAAAACTAACATATTATCACAGAACATTAAAATGCTTTCAACTGTCTACACTGAGTTTGTTTCGTCTGTCATAGAGTCATAGAGTCATACAGCATGGAAACAGACCCTTCAATCCAACCAGTCCATGCCGAACATACTCCAAACTAAAATATTCCCACCTGCTTGCTCCTGGCCCATATCCCTCCAAACCTTTCTTATTCATGTATCTATCCAAATATCTTTTAAATGTTGTAATTGTACCCACATCCACCACTTCCTCAGGAAATTCATTCCACACGCGAACCACCCTCTGTGTAAGAAAAAAAACACCCCTCATGTCTTTTTTAAATCTTTCCCCTCTGCCCCCAGTCTTGAAATCCCCCAGTGGGATATCTGTCTGTGTGCCTGAGTGCAGCATCAGTGTGTCTTGGCATGGTTCTGGGCACGGTACCTGTGCGTCTGGGTGTGGTGCCTATAATCAAAAATAAAGAAAGATAAAAAGATGTGGTCTTTCCAACACTGGCGGACTAAATGGCTTCTTTCAGATCTCTGCTCTTTGTGATAGGAGAGAAGATGGGCTGAGTGGCCTCCATGCCCTGGAACACTTGCAAAAATGTGCTGCACCAATAGGTGGTGTTATTGAGCCAGCTGGGCCTCTGTGCTCAGCTGCGCCACCCAGTGGGTCTTGGTGATTTCTCACCCATTGCCAAGATGAGGCCGTTCAGCCCCTTCAAACCCATCCACCATTTAGAACAAACAACAGTATAAAATAGGAACAGGCCCTTTGGCCCACCATGTCATTGCCGACCATGGTGCTATTCTTAACTAATCCCATCTGCCTGCACATCGTCTGTATCTCTCTATTCCTTACCTGTTCATGTGTTTGTCCAAATTACTTTTAAACATTGCTATCATATCTGCTTCTACCATCTCACCCAACAGCACATCCCAGGCACCTACAAACTTCTGTGTAAAAAAAAAAAAAATGCGCCTCGCACATCTTTAAACTTACCTTTCACCTTAAACCGATCCTCCTCGTATTGGACATTTCCACCCTATCCACTCCTCTCATAATTTTATATACGGCCGGTTCTGATATAATGTGATAGTTCTGTTCTTGTGCGATCTTACGTTATAAGAAAATTATGCAATAACCACGAAATTTAAACTGATGGGGAGGGAATCGCATTATAGCCCATACAGGTAGGGAAAGTTCATATTGTATAAATAGCGTTCTATAATTCTTCAGTTGCATTAAAACCAATTTGCGTTGAAGAAACACGCGTTACATCAGAACTGACTGTACTTCTATCAGGTCATCCTCAGTCTCTGATGCTTTAGTAGAAACAATTCAAGTTAATCCAATCTCTCCTTTATAGCTAATACATTACAATCCAGGAAACATCCTGATAAACCTCTTGTACATTCTGTCCAAAGCCTCCACATCCTTCCTATGTGTGGTGACCAAAACTGCACACAACACTTCCAAATGTGGCCTAGATATAGTTTTGTACAGCTGCAACATTACTTGCCAACTTTTATACTCAATTGATTGACCAATGAAGGACAGTTTGCCATACGCCTTCTTTACCACCTTATCCACTTGTATTGCCACTTTCAGGGAGCTATGGCCTTGCACCCCAAGATCCCTCTGCATATCAATGCTCCTCAGGGTCCTGCCTTTTGCTGTATACTTTCCTCTTGCATTTGACTTTCCAAAATGCATCACCTCATACTTGTCTGGATTAAACACCATCTGCCATTTTTCCACACAACTTTCCGGCTGATCTATATCCTGCTGTATCCTTTGACAACCTTCCTTACTATCTGCAATTCCACCAATTTTCATGTTGTCTGCAAACTTACTAATCAGAAAACCTACTTTCCTTCCGAATAATTTATATTGATTACAAACAACAGAGGTCCCAACACGGATCCTTCCAGAAACACCAATGGTCACAGACCTCCAGTCAGAAATACACCATCCACAACTACCCTCCGTCTTCTATGACTGGGACAGTTTTTTTTATCCGACTTAGCAACTCACTGTGGATCCCATCTGACTTAATTTTCTGGAGCAGCCTACAATGTTAATTAGATAATTTAAAACCTCAGACTAACAAACCTTGGAGCTTTATCAACTCTGAGCAGTGATGTAGAAATATCAGTTCTTGACTATTAGACAACACTTCTTTAACCAGCTGCAAGGTTCCCGTGATCAGTGATACCTGTTTTGATGGAGAGGCACAAAGTTCAGATTTTTTTTAACCAAATATTGAGTTTAAATCCCTTGCTGCAGCTGAATTCAAAGTGTAATCATTGAGATTAACACCTCTAAATAAAATTGCAACATCTTGCTTTGTGCTTAAAGGTCACTTAATGATGGTTATAATAGTTCCAGTTATCGTGAAATAATTAACCAGTTCAATGAGGAACAGAAGTCCAAATAACTTGCATCCTCAGCTCATGGTCACCTGCTGTTTGCCAACATTTTCACTTATGAAGACTTGCATTTATATACCACCTTTCAATATCTCAGGGCTCCACAGCCATCAAAATACATTCTGAATTGAGATAGAAAACTCCTCCAAATGTCATTGACGCTTTCTGTTCTGGTGTTTGATGAAAAGATAAATATATCCAGAAATCAAGACCTCTCCTTGTTCTCATTCCAATAGTGGCTGATGGTAATTAACATGCATACAGGAGAAATGACAGGGTTTCTGATTTTTGGCAATATGAGAAATGGACCCCCTGATGG